TCTTTTTCAGTATATCAGGAGTAATGTAAATCAGCTCTCTCGCTTTTTTCCATTGTAATATTTATGCAAACCCAAATTCAAATAGTGAATATTTCATTTCATACTATTAAATTAGCAAAATTATTGACGGTTTACAATTTACATAGGTTTTTCTTCTCATTTTTAATTTCTGACAACAGCTGGAGTTTTATAAAAATTTTTTGTTTCCCATGCTAATCTTATGGAGAAATACAAAACTTTAAAGGGTACCAGGGCCTCACTCTCTAATTATTTCCCTAAAAAGAAAGTTTCCTGCACAACTTCACGTTAGGCTCTTTCCAATGACACCAGAAACATGTAAATCGGTTCAGTAGTTTCGGAGGAGTAATTGTCACAAAAAACCTGCTTGCGTATTAAATAAGTAAATAGATGAGTATACTGTCCTCTTTGTAAACAGTTATACTCAGCCAACGCAACTTGCTTGCACAGATTCAGCTTTAAAACTTTACCAAAATATAAGTTTGTTTATTATCGTCGGGTATGAGATTGTTCTAATAACAACCATAATAAAGAGTTTTTTTTAGAAAACCAGTACCATAGATAAAACATACGTGTTGATTAGTCTATGCCAGTACTCAATAGTACTGTTTTATTAAAACAGCATTTTTAAATTTTTGTAATTAACCCCTCCAAGTTGGGGACTTGAATCTGATACCTCAAATGTTCTAGCTAGACTATTGACCACTCAGCCATTCAACTTCAAGTTAAAAACCACTACAAGTCATAACTCGGGTCTACAAATAAAATACCCTGTCGCAGCAAAACTATTCACAAAGCAAATTTCAACTTGTATGATTAAAGTATTTTTACTAAAACGAGGTGTAAGCCCGTCCTACGTACGGGAGTAGTCAGTTAAAACGGTTTAGGCCTATAATTCAGAACAGCTAGTTTACACGAATAAAGAAAATTTTTATTGCAGCCTACAGTAGAATGAGTAATTATCAATTGAGAAGTGTATAGGCCTAGTTAATGATATCACCTTCCATCGCATACCTACCTCTTCCATAATCAATATTACCACAATACAATTACTCATACTATACACAATTTCCAGTAGGTCTGAGTTGAAACTCCCTAAAATAAAACGAAAACATCCAATAAAATTCACAGTACACATAATTATAACGTTGGTGTCCTGACATCATTAAACGATTCGTCCACACACATCCTTTATGTCAATTTCAATGCACCAATTGCTAAATAAATAAGTTTAAACAACGAAAAGTAAACACAACAACATATTAGTTTGTTTTGTAAACAGCTGAGTCAAAAAAAAGAATATTCATTTGAACAAAAGAACTGGTCACATGTTGAAGGAATTTAAAAAGTAAAAACGCTAGTACAGCTAGTGACGTAATTAATTGTCTATGTTTATTATCTATCCCGTTATCAGTTCCAATATCCTTGATAATTATACCACCCTCATTGAATCAATGTACATCGTAATTCCCCATATTCATTTATTTAAACTATAAAAAATTCAGCGCCTCCAAATGTAACCACAACTAAACACACGCCAAACAACTTTTTTAGATTTCATAAAAGGATGTTTAGTCTAATTGCAGTATCCTAGGTCAATGATGACGTTGTGTTCAATTTATGGCATTCATCTGTATATCTTTGGATAACACCCGTCTGAGGTTGTGGTGGTAATTTAAAATCGTATTCCTGAGGATTCTTGATCTCCATCTTTATGACATCAATATTTCCGGGCCTAATCCAAACAAAGTTCAAGCATTCAAAAACATTGATTGTAAACAAAAAGCTGCCAAGACGAATTAAAACATGTAAAAATTGTGATTTTCCTACCCTTTCCAAAAAAGATGAGCAGTAAAATAAGTTGCAAATCTTTTTCATTTAACTCGTGTACAGATCCTCGACTTGTACACATCGATGGTGTTACTTTTCTCGGTGGTCCACTAATCTTACCTATTTCTAATAATCAATGACAAAATCAGAGTAAATAACCTCATAGTTCTAATAGGGCATTCTTATTTAACCAGCTGTTAGTTAAAACAAATTATATTGCTCTAAAACAAATCGAATATTACAAAGATTGCTTTAAAAAATAATTTGAACATCCTAGTATTTTACTATGTATATTAAATTAATCTGTCATCCTCTTACAAAAGAATTGAACGTATCAATGATTAGCATTACACATAGTATAAATAAGTCAACCCTCAGTATGTCTTTACATTTTTATCCATGTTTTTATCCAAATGCTGAATTTGTGACACAAAAGCTGAATGTTTACAGCTGTTATGTTAAGCAAATTATTTTATGCCAAAAGCTAGTTTAGAATCTTAGCGTCGGCTGCTAGACTTTTTAAAAATTAAAACTTAATTTCTAAAAAACTGGGACCCTAAACTAAAATGATGGCTTCGACATTCCCTAGTTCTCAAAATTATCTTTCTTTCAACACAAAAAACATTAAAATCCGTCGAGTGGTTGATTCAGAATCGTGAAATAAAAAAACACTGTTTCGTTTTAATATTATAGATAGATACTTCCAGAAATAAAACAAACTTATTCCTATTTAAATAACATTAGATTTAACGAGTGCTTAGGTGTGCTGCTACGGGGAAGGTAAAAAGTGTTTCTTGACCATACGTCAGTATACTGAAATTAATGAATTTGCCAAATTTTATCAACATACAGTGTATCCATAAACAAGTAAATTAAAACGGTTTTAATTTTCTCCATAAGAATAACATGGTAATGTTTAACAACACTTTTTTCAATTTTTTTGTGAGATACCGACTGATTCTGTGCCCATTACGGTGTAGCTACAGATGGAATAGAGTTAAATAATAATGAAAATCTTAAACATCAACAAAAGAAAATAAATAATTATAACAGTTGATTAAAAAAAAACTTAAGATTACTATAATTTAATGTAGTGATACTTTACAAAGTATAACTAAAGTATTTTATTTTTATTCAATAATGACAAACAAGACTCAATATTTAGGAATGTTTTACTTTTTACTGTATAAGCTTATGGGAGCGATAGCGAACGTCACGTTGCTGCCAGTGAGTGTCGGTGGCAGGGCATGATGGAGGTTTGAGCAGAAGCAAAAGATATGCGGACGCGCAAATAACAACCAGGTTGCGCTTGCGCGTGTGTGCGTCGGGAGCTCCGCAGGGCACTGCACTGGCCACTGCCTAGCGGGGAGCGGCAGTCAACTCGCGAACCTCCTAGCTCCTCCCACCCCTTCCCCTCCAACTGGGTTGAACCGACACGGCGCAGTCTGGCGGACACTTCGAACATCGTTCTGAGATTTCCGAGCTGAGGTAGAGCCCACCCTTAAGACATCAGTGCTGCTTGACTCATGCTACCCTAACCATCTCTTCCCCCTCCCTTACTGCCCTCCTAAGGCCTATGTTATATTACTCTGTTATACCTGCAAAGCAATCCTGTTCTGATTCAGGGGGAAAATTAATTATGCCTTGGAGTGAATGAATCATTTGCTATATATAGGACACCAGACATTCGTTATGTATGTGTTTGTAATACCAAAAGTATGTAAAGTTTTTTCATAACGGGTTTAAAATTCTTAAAATAATGCTACGGACGATAATATGCACTTCAACGATATTAACAATTTATATGATTGATCAAAATTACAACTAGACAGCTTCCAAACTATTGAACATTTTTAAAGATGTCTCTGTTATAATAAACAACACTTCATTACTGAATTGTTTCATACAGTCAAACTCAACCTGTCTTCAGACACCAATGAAAATTACTATGGCAAATCAAACTCTTTGTTTTAAACAGGGCCTAAATTTAATATTTATAAAGTGCGATATCTATAAGTTAATTTAGTATAAAGTCATTTATTTATTTTTAAATCTAAAATTATGCCTTTGTTTGGAATTTGAATACCCCTAGAGAAACGTGCTATCATGGGCTCAGTAAATAATAACTATGATAGTTACCCGAACAAAACAAAACAATTGAATTTAATCCGATGCTTTTATTATTTAGTCAATAAAATAACGAAAATAAAAAAAAATATTTTAAGAGCGAATTCCAGTATTAATGTGTCATATAAACGTTAGTACCCAACTGATATTGTCATAATCAAGGTGTCATTAGTAGCCCAATAAATGTACTTTATATCAAGCTCATATATCTCTTCGTTGAAATGGTTTAATGTTTTTTTCTTTCTTTTTGTAGATTTTTTGAATCTATTGAACCACTCTTGTTCCATTTTAATCTTTCTTTGGTTCTACAATTATGTTAATTCTGTAAACACTTATCAGTTTGCAAAGTAATCATGTACCATCTGATTCAATGGTCACGCCACACGTTATTCCGACAACCTATTGCGCGACAGTTAAATAATTTTTTTCTTAACTTACACTAAAACTATTGCAATTCTTTCACGATACGGTTCTTGTTACAAATACTCAGAACATAACAAATATGCGGCAATATCATTTTTATCACCAAAAACCTTCTCACTGACTTATTGACTTGGTTACCAAAGTTGACTTAAGTAAGTTTTCTCAGCACTTATTAGTGTAAGCTGTAAACAATCAAATAGTTGCTTCGATAGTAATGACGCTTTTGTTGATGGATATAATAATGCTGATAATGGTCATTACGGTGATTTTAATGACAATGAGGGTGAGGATTGTGGTATATTGATATGACGGTGTTAGTGGGAATGTTTTTTTGATGATGATGATTAAGGTAGTAGTAAACAAAAAGAATATTATGGTAGCGATTGGGATGGTAACAATGTCGATAAAGATGATAATGTTTTTTGTGTGTTTATACGGCGATAGTTATGATTAAGATTAAGATTATGATTATTATTAAGATGACCGTGGAGGTTATTTAGAGAAGTGGTGGTAGCGTGGTAGTGGTTGGGGATCAGAATAGTGTTGGTGATAGTAGTTGATGGTGATTATGATAGTAATATTAACAAAAATAAATTACTAACCTGTTACACTTAGAAGCGACATGATCTTGTCCGCTGTAGGTTGGAAGTATAAAATAAATTCACAGTATACAAGTAGCACAAATATCACAGACTATTAAATCAACTATAACAAAAACAAAATACATTTAACTACGAGCCGTTGATAAGAGGGAATATGTGGAACTTTAATAAAAATAAATACCGTCCATTAAAGTTTCGATTTTTCAGCTTTCTACTTATGGGAAATTTAAAAAACATTTTCCTCATACTTAGTTATTTTCTACCACGTTCAACCAAAGTGGTTGTTAATCTATTTTGTAGCTGAATATTTAATTTATACTCAATACATATTTTTTTTCATTTTTCTATGAAAAGTATGATTAAATCACCATTCACTGAGGCTTGATCAATAATCATGAGCTTTCTTATTAGTAAAATTAGTGGCACAACAACCCCTAAAGATGCATACTCCAAATGTAAGATATATAGTCTTTATACAAATAATAAATATATAAAATGTTTTTTTACGATTAATCTTAAAAACTTATACATCAAAATCTTCTCGCTAGTTTGAGAGAAGATTATACGCCATTTTAAACACATATTTCCAATATAATAAGTGTCAACAATTTAATATTAAAGTGTATTTCAACGTAACATGGACAAATTTTAAATCGTACAAATAAAATGTATATAGGCAAATTTAATTTTCTGAGAATTCTAATTCTGACCACAACAATGAAAGATAAAGACCTAGTCGAGCTGAGGTCAACTTTCGCATGTAAAAGTCAAAGTATGTTATTAAAATGGAACTTTGCATTTAGGTTTTGTCACAGAAATTATGCATGGGAGTGGATAAGCGACATGCAATCAGTGTTTGCCCGATATCGACCTAGCCAGGGCAGAGTGAACGAAGAGGTTAGGTGCTACAGCTGGGCTGAGACTACATTGTACACCGAGTACAGTATAATGCACCGCCTACTACGAGTACGACAAACTACACTGACAAACGAGTGCTATTCGAACATTAAACCGTTAAATAATCTAATTTGGATTGAGTGAATAACCTAAAAAATAATTAACTTTTTCAATGTTACAGCATTTATTATGAATGCAATTACTCATGAAATTTCTAAGATTTGTGTATAAATGTTGCAATTGCAGGGTTATTAAAAGATACTGGGAAAATGTCTAATATATGTAATCTAATTTCACAACAGTTAACTGGATAAAAAAATGAGATGATGTTAATTTTGTATGATAAATGGTATACTAAGTTTAAGTAAAAAGGATGATTCAAAAAGGAATGAAAAAACGACATAATAAATAGATTATTATACTTTACACATTTTTATATAACTCTTATGACTATATGATTGCAGGAATCTGCTTATTTTGTAAAGCTGAATGTGGTGTATTCATGACGAATGCAAGTTTTTCTAGTTGTATGGAATTGACGTTGTTGCAAAAACATTATACTTGAATATATCATTATTATAAATTCAATATACAGTATCCTAAGTCTATAAATGAACTAAGGGCAACAACCCAACCTAACCTAAAAATCCCAAAACATTCTCTCCACACTATCCTCTTACCAGTGACTCTTAGTTAAATGTAGCCCTTCGTAAACGATCGAATCATAATCAGAACTTTAGAAAATCTAACGAATTAACTACTCAACACTATCACTTTTGTAAATAAAACAAACGGAAATCGTCTATAAAAAAGACACTTCACTATGGCACAAGGAAAGGTTGGACCGCGCGCGTAGAATATATCACTAGATATGTACAAGCTAACACTCAAAAATCGGAAAGGAATGAACTAATGCGTGATTATAACACGGTAAGATCCAGCTGGGGACTGTCTCGCAACCGCACACATGTGGCCCGCCATTTTGTAACTGGGGGGCAAGGGGGGCTCTGACGTCACACCGTACCCAGACGAGGCGGCGTGAAAAATCATCGACCTTGATGCCCTATATACCCAGAAAACTCGTAGATTAGCCCCTGGGAGATTTTCATCAATAACAATATGTCAGGGTGGCTCATGGTTTTTGGTTTGAGTTGCATATAGATTTTCAAGACGGTTATGTGTAGAGTTTACGGTAAAACGTGGAAACTCCGCGTAACCCCCTTACCACTCCCCATCCCCTACCAAATACCGGGAATCAATAGTCCCGGATGACGTGCAGAGGTTGCAGACGGCGAGTCCACACAGTGCTACCTGGTGGCGGGGGAATAAACTAGAGCGCTAGTGGCTGCGGGGGATTTGTTTACTATGTGTAAACCATAGATTACAAGAACGTGTATACCTCGATGGTAAATGTATAGATAAAATTGTACGTTACTTTGGTATCACATGGAAAACAACTATGTCCAAAGCCACGTAAAATAAAATTAATTTTCAAAAACAAAATTTGAGATTTGTTAGGTTAATTAAATGTAAGGTATTATCTAATCCCCCATCTCTCGGTCTAATTAGAATTTAGTCATTGGACTGCAATGTAACACAGTCTAGTAGCTGATTCGCTTCCTCTAGTTTCCTAGGATTTGAGGGTTAGGATATGGATTGATAAAAGAGTTGAAACATGTACTTATATAATAAATTGAAAATCCCATCCTAACCTCTAATCCAAGAAAATCTGACATTTTGGCAATCACAAATCACTGCAACATACAATAAAGTGCTAATGGAACATTTAGTTTTATTATATATAATTTTGACATGACACTTTGATAGTTTGATTCTTGAAATAAATTTATTTGCTAAAATAGATAAGGAGAAAACAGTTTTTGTTTTTGGAAAGAAGTGGACTGTATATTTTCCTGAATAAATTTACTTTGCATGAGGAGGTCAAGTTGACTGAAAAATAATGGAAATATCATACTAATATTATATTCACAAAAAAAATTAAGAAATAATCAAATACAGTTCATGTGGTTATCTTCTTGGAACCATTTAATAAGTAAATAATATAATTGTGTTGATTAATTTGAGTTTTAACTTTTCTCCATGAATATTAATAATGGTGTAGGATATTGGCTGCCTTCTGAATCTAATTTTTTTCATTCTTTGTCTGATCTTAATAGTCACACATGTGTTCAAGTTGTTTTCAAAACTGTTCATTGTTGGTTTGTTTAAGAGTTTTCTCATTTGGTTATAAAACTGCTTGTCAATCCAGCTACTTGCACTAACAGCTAATATTAATTATTAAATATTCTTTAAGTTATTAATTTTATATCATGAAAAGTTATTAATTTTATATAATGAAATTTGATTAAATAACGTATGATAATTTCAATATTGAAAAAGAATAATTGTAATTCAAACTGTAATAAAACATAAACATTGGTGATTGGATATAAATGAATTTTGATTGACTTGATTATGGAATTGAGTAGTGAAAACTAAGTCCTTATTTTATCCTCCTGTTACAATAAGAATTAAAAGGGTATTTAAACTATAAAAATAGCCTAAACACACCACTAGATCATATGATAAAGGTTTATTTATTCATATTAAAAAATATATATAACTTTCTTGCTGCTTGGTTGCCAGTAAAATATTTCCGAACCACATATTGGTATAACATACATTCGTGGTTATATATATATTCTTTATTCTGAAATTATCTATTTTTGTATAAATTATCCCGTTTGAATTACCTATTTTTTCCCCTTCAAGGATATTTCAAAGAATGTTTATAAATATTAATCAAACAATTACAAAACATTAAGTGCTTTTTGTTTAAACTGATGGAACATAGTCCCTAAACGTTCAAGGGGTTTGTCCCACATGGAAATGCTTTTAATAAACTCGTAGAATCAATAACAGAAGTTTTACTTAACAAAATATAATTTGTTAAATGGCATGTTGAGAATCCTATATTTTACAAATATGTTTTGGTAAAATTTATTTTGCTGATAGGTAAAAATTGTATTTGTTTTTAAGTGATTTTACTGAGAACTCCACTCTTGAGTCTTGCCTCTCAAATAAAAATGTGATTATAAAATCCTCAAATGATTGTCAGCAGTACTAAATAATGCAGTATAAACAATACCCAGTTATGCAAAAAGTTTTCTTGTTTGAAAATGTGGTGATAAGTAAGATGTTTCTTCTTCACGTTCAACTTTTAGTATGATTGGATATGCATTTTAAATGGCTATTCTCTGTTACAAGCGTCTTGCTAGCATTAAATGCTTTGTGTTCATTGAGATGTTAAATATTTTTTTTTGTTATTTGATTATTTATATATTAAAATATTATACAAATAGTGTTAGAAGATAGTATTCTCCCTTAGAGCTACTGCTGAGACGCAAAATTGCTTGAATACTGGTTAACAGAAAAAGCTTCAGCGACTAACTTAAAGTAATATGATACTTTAAAACATACGAAAAATATCTTAAAACATCATACGATTATAATTTATTTTTCAGTAATATACATAATCAATATAAGTAAGGGGGAAGAAACAATGTTCAAAACTAATTGATTTGTTGTTACCTACTAGTTCAAACTTGAGGAACGTATAAATTACAATACAGTATATAAGACTTTATAAATTATACTAATTTTAACAGACTTCCCTAGTCGGTAAAAAATGTTTAACAATTTTCAATTAATGATGTGTTATGTGGATATTTAATTTTCTTTAAAAATGTATACTTACTATACTTAACGTAGCCTAAAAACGTATATATTTCGTTACTCTGTAACTTTTAATGAAAATAGAATCCTTATTTTAATAATCCGTTTTCCATATATGGAAACATTAAATGAGTTTAAGGTACTGTACAATCATTATTACAGTACCAGTTTAGTGTAGAATGTTTACTAGGAATTTGATCCATCTGATCGTTATGCAGTTGTTCAAAACATTTGTTCTTAAGAAATAGGTTTAAATATTGGCAGTTTTAAATTTATAATAACACTAGCAGAGTACCCGTTCTTCGTAGGGGGTTGGCATATAAGTATAAAATGCTTATTGAAGTTATACTCGAGCTTTGCGCTTACAATGGGGGAAGACACAGTTCGATAAAATTTGCTTCTTTACATTTACGGTATACTATAGTACAAATCTACCATAGCCATAACGTTCTACCTAAACAATAGAGACAAATAAATAAATAACAAAACAAATTATAAATTAATTAATTTGCTAAATATCACAAATAATTCATGAAGTTAAAAACATAAAAATAACTGGAAACAATCCAGTTATCATTGGATGACAGTTCTCATTGCGTATCACAGTTTTTTGTTGCTACTTAGTACAAACGCTGAAGGATTAACAGTCAACGATTCAAATTAGCTGTTTTCATAAATATGCAAAAAATAATATCAGCGCTGCATCCTGTTGATAAATCTTATAACTTTTTAATACTTTTGCATATCATAGAACCAACTTTTTTAGTTAAAACAGCTGACTAAATTATTTAATTCCTTTTAAATATGAATACTCATAAGGTTAAGATGGGGAACTGCAGAGCTACTGGGGCGGAGCCCGAAAGGATTTTGCAGATAAGAATATGCTTATATGTTAATCGGGAATGTGATCTATCATCATGCCAAATTTCAGCCCAATATGTCCAGTAGTTAATGCGTGATTGAACTTCAAACAAAAAAAAAACATACAACTGTCACATTTATAATATTAGTAAGATTCCTGACTGCTAAAAGCGAAGTACCTCTTGGCATTAAAAGATTAAGTTTTTTAAAGCATCTTGTATATGAATTTTGTTACTGCAGCATTTTTAGGTTATCAAGTCACAAGAGGTTCAGCACAGAAAACTTTTCTACAGGTTTGAAGAACAAATCCACATTCGGCTAATAACTAACTCTGGCCTTCAGAAAATGAAATACGAAATACAAGCAAACAAACAAAATGTGAAAAATTGCTATTGCTGCAATAGAAAAATGTGCTTTACTAAAAATCAATAAAAAAGTTTTAACTAACTAAACTTTTTAATTCACATTTTTAAGTCGCTATTCTACACTCCGTACGAATCTTGGAACTCTACAACGCATTAATTTACATAGAATATAAGCTGACTGAACCAAATAGAAGGGGTTTTGTTTGTTTCAAGAATTCCATGAATTCCATGCAATATGGATCCAATGTGCATATTATTTGTGTGTATTTATCTGATTCCTGAAAACTATACGGCTGGACAAAGGACCCCAAAATTGACCATAAACTTGCTGATAGCACACTCCAAGCAACCTCTGGAATGTTCTAAAATTAAAAACTAAGATTTCAGTACTAATATTCTAATGCATCGATATCTAAATCTAAGGAATAAATTTCATTGAGTAGGCTAAATTAATGTCATATCTTCGTTACTTCGTTATAAAATTAAAAAATACTGTATACACGCTTACGAAAGCGTGTATACAGTATGATTAAAGTCCAATGTATTCTGTGTTTAACAGTAAATTAAACAGCAAGTTTAATGATAAACGTTTAAGCAGTAAATCTTCAAAAAATCTTCTAAATCCTTCTCTACTGAAAATATTAATTAATTGGCGTTTTGCAAAGGAATGTATCATAAGAATATATTAATTAGAAACTGTTCTACTTCGAAATAATTTAAGAACGTTTTCTAGGGGTTTGATGGGATTCAATGGGGTTGTGCTGGGCTACTTATCGGCGCACAAGTTATTGATTTAAATATTGCATGTACACGTAGAAAATAACGTAAGTTTAATATTGCAGAAATTTCTATAAAGAATATGAAGAGGTATCGCACTCCGTGTAAAACTCCTGTAAAAGTTCTCGTTCGTATAGTGAGAGCGCAGCACTGTCGGTACTTTCCTGTGCTGCTACATGTGGCCAATCAGAGGACTAGGGGAGAACCCGAT